CCATTCTGATAATTAGCGATAAGATAACTGACGAAGCCCAGGTGTAGAACAAGAGTTATGACCACCGTCGTTGCGGCTAGAGAAAATAATAAATGCGATTAAGAGGAAGAAAAGGAAAAGAAAAGATAATTTTTTTTTTAGTTAAGCAAGATATTTTTTTCCTGAAACAAAGCCGCGGATTCGTCCACGCCCGACAAAGACACCATTGGTCGAGTGGTGATCACGTGACGCACGAAGGAGGTTGTCGCCGAACATCCAGAGGATAGGTATGAGAAGCTGCTACGAAGAAGTGGGGAGGGCAGTTCAGCCCCTCTGAAGTATAGTGAGAAGGTGGGAGTAAAAAAAAGGCTCCCAAAAATGGAAAAGAGTGGGAAATTTCTAACCAGAAATAAAAAGAGGTGGATATGTATTTAGAATTATCGAGGAACCCCCGACGCCGACAAACCCACCCCGGTTTTGGTCGGCGTCCATATAAGCGAAGCCGCAGCAAGCAGAAGTCAGTTCGAGAAGAGTTGCAGTTAAGTTCGAGTTGAGTTCCAGTTCGGTTCGAGAGACTTCCGCCTCGCAGATAGCTGACTTGAAAGATTCACGCACATTCCGGACTCCTCTTCAATCCAAGAACAATTATTTTGAAGAGCGACTTAGATCCAGACCACCAAAATAAGTTTTTTTTCGACTTTCGTCCGAAGACACACCGAAAAACCAATTTCTTAAAGAGCAAACAACTTGAAGCGTTAAAACTCGCCTAACGGAAAACAACGTGTCACAATCCATAGAACGGGTCGGGAGATAGACGCGGTCCTATGTATCGAACAACTAGACATAAAGTTTGTTATCTTTTTCTTTGATACCTTGAACTTTTGAGTTTTCATTTTATTTTCTTTTATGCATATTTGTGTGGTGTCACCCCCGTTGAACCCGATTTGCATTACGGCCCCAACTACTGATTGATCTCGTCTGCCTAAGATCAATTCACAACGTGGGTAGGCAGACTGGAGATCAATGCAGTTACTTTGGTAACCAGGCGTTGGAAGCGAGTTGGGAACGACGAGGCTGATATCAAATCTAATCAGATTCCCACCCGAATCACCAAAAGGTTAGAACGTCATATTTGGATGCCGCGACCGATACCAAGCCAGTTGGTCGTCACAGGACGAGACAACACGACTGACGCGACAGGCGGACGTCACGTTTGGAGCGGCGACACCCGAACGGAGCAGCGAGGAGCGAACAGCTGGCGCCGCGGCGAGGACGTCACAGTTGGTTCCGTGGTAGACCAGGATAGGACGTCACAGTTGGCGCTGCGACCAGGGGACGACGTCACATAACCTACAATCTTCTGTAAATAGATCGTAGAAAAGGGATTTGGATAGATAGTAAGGGGACAACTATTGCTCAGAGCTACGAAGGATAGGATGTTGTGGAGAGCTATGATCTCTGACGACCTTAAGCGACACGACACATAAAAGAAGAAAAACGTGGCTGGCTCCTTGTCTTGATTTACTGACTTTTAATTATTGCATAAAAATAATTTTATGTTGTGAGGGAGAATATTTCCTTACAAATTTAGACTCGGCCGTCGGACGAAAGATATAAAAATACGCCTACATAAAGAGGAGTAGCAATAGCAGCAGTAGCTTTTGCTGAAAACAGCCATTCACGGCTAAATATTTCCTTCCCTAGTTTCTATTCTACATTATGTTTCCCTGTACCAAAAGGTAATAAACTTGTTAAACCAATTCCGGTTTTCTACTGTTGTCTTTGATAACTCAGTTCCAACATTTTAATAAAAAAAATTCAATAATTGTTGCAAACAGTAGAAACATTCAAAGAACATTTGAAATAAAATCTTGAAGCACAACTTATATCATATATATTGGTATTAATGCGAAGAGAAAAGTCTAGTAATTTTCATAGTTTAATACACTTTTATTTCTTAGTACGAAAGTGACAGGAAACAAAATTATATTATACCATAGAAAATGCTGAACGATGATTGTCAGAGAAAGGGACAGCCCAAGATACGAACTACGAACTGGGGACAGCAAAATCAAGCAAATACTAAAGTTTAAATAACTAGAAACTGTTTTAACAGGGAACGGAACATGTGCCACCGAAATCCGAAGACACATTGGATTAGAGAAAAGATATCTTCGAAAAGCTAAGCAAAGTAATAAGAAACAGTACAATTTCGTTAAAAACAAAGATTGTTAAACTCTAATGTAATATCAATCCCACTATACGGCAATGAACGCTAGACAGTCCCCTCTCAGATAAAGAAAAAACTTGAGGCAATAGAAAATTTGAAGGAAAATGAAAAAGCCATTTTCAAGTTTCTAAAGTACATAATGAGGAAATATGACTGCCCTTTTACTTTTACAATATCAAGCATTGGCCAGAAAAAAAAAGAGAAATATACACTAGAAAATATTAAAAGTGCAATATAAAATTCTGTCGTTGGGACCTCTCAATTCTGAGAATTAGAGGAAAGGCAAAAATAAGATAAAATATATGAAACAAGGGATTCTGTTGGTGAAGGATCAAGAACACATCATCCAAAATTTTATGAAAGAACAACAATGATAAAGATACTTTATATAAAGATGCTAGACTCCAGGAGAGGGACTCCTTGCGCTTTCTCGGGCGAACGTTTCCCGTTATCACAAAGTGGAAAGATTATATTGAATCAATTGCTAGGTCTTCTGCTAGTAAAGTTGTTTCATTATGTCGTGCTAGCTAATTTCTCACTCCAGAATCTAACTTACACATTTATACCATTCGCTTATGCATTGAATATTGCTGTCATGTCTGGTCTAGTGCTTCGGACATATATTTAAAGATTCTGGATAAAATATTAAAAAAATCTGCAATATTATTTTTCATGACCTGGCATCTCGGCTTCAGTCACTTTCCCATTGGCGTAACCGAGCTCCTCTCTGCCATTTCTATAAATATATTAAAAGTTTTCCTCTTTGGTACATAGACTTATGTATGCTTATGAGACTATAGACTTATATATAGATTATAGACTTATGCTTATGATTTTAATCGCAGTACTAGATTGGCGGCAAGGTCTCATCATTTTACAGTTGAAATGTCTATGCTAACAGTTCTATGCCAAAAGTTTCCTCTCTCGTACTTCTCACTCTCGTCTAGCTTTTTGCTTTCCAGTCAAATTTGATCTTGAATAATGTACAGTCAATGTCCATCGTTATCTTCCGCCTTCTTAATTCCTATTCTTTTATTGTTTTCTCTCCTTAGTAATGTTTTCTTTTTCTTATATTCTCTCACACTCAGTGACTCCTTGTGTCTAAGTGGCTTTATTGCCTTGCTTGGGGTGAAATGATTAGAAGACAATTTATTCTTATAATTTCTACAAAGCCACGAAATATATGAATCGTGTACAGATCGACTTAAATTATTTTATAGCAAATAAATGGTTCCGGTTAGCCAATACCAGGTAGATGAAAAAACAAAAAAAAAAAAAAAAAAAAAAAAAACAAAAACAAAAAACAAAACAACCCCTCACCCCAAAAAACTCGTGCATGTTGCAACCGATTACTGGAAATGCATGATTTTAAACCTTTTCCAAAAAGTTACCAGTGTATAGTGCGACCTTCTATTTTTGCGTAATAAAACTCGATATATATATATATATATATATATATATATATATATATATATATATATATATATATTACAGCAAAAATTCTGTAAAAAAATATATATGCTTTTGTTATAATAAATACGTTGATCCCTCTGATAATACTTAGGACAAGAACAACAAATATAAGTTTCGCCAGCGGCGCGTAGAAGAAGTAGTCAACTGCTAGAACTGAGTCAAGTGAATTCCACAATGAATCTTCCACTGCAGACCAACATACAGTATTTACTACTGTATTAATGTGAATGGGGACATATCCATTATCGGCCGTAGGTATACTACAACAATGTACACACACACACACACACACACACACACACACACACACACACACACACACACACACACACATATATGTGTGTGTGTGTGTGCGTGTGTGTAATGTTCATCCAATACAAAGTCCAAGAGCTACTCATGGTAGAGAGTTACTGTCAATCAAGATAAAATTGGCTAGATAGCCAAAAAAACACTTTTCTAAATTTAAAATTCCCACCCTCGCTTGTTCGTGTGCATGTTTAGTCACATGAGGGCCGAAACGCGTCACACGAAAACTTTTCCCACTTTGTCATATATCTTTCCCCTCCCCACCCCAAACTACTCTTGATGTATAAAAAGGTATATATCGTAAGCCTATAATAAGGGTTCGATGGATAAATTGTCGTCTAAATTACGCAAAAATCAAAATAATATTCTCATTTTAACAGATATATTTACCAAAATTACACAAAAATATTTTCAAATACTGTTATGGGACCTTACCCATAATAACATAATGGACTATTCCATACGTAATAAATACTGCGCCTCAAGAGGGAGCAGGGAGTTCAGTCTGAAGTCTGGAGTGAAGTCCGTCAGGAGTCTGTCCGTCAGGAGTCTGTCCGTCAGGAGTCTGTCAGTCAGTCAGAGCGAGTCAGTCAGTCGAGTCAGAGGCAGTCCGAAACAGAGTCGCATTCAGACAATTGCTACTAAACCTGATTGTTCGTACTAACACTTTCTACTTCTCTGTATATATTCCTGTTTGTAATATATCTGTGTTATTCCATATCCGTATTCGAGTTCTTCTTTATTGGTTCTACCTTGGACTATCACCGTGGTACAAGGAACCGGACCATAACAAATACTAAAGACTAACATTTATTTAATAAAATCGCCATTGGCTTTAACCGCGGCCTCCAGATGACTTCAGAATCTCCTGCATCTCTTCTGGACCGTCTTCTTGTTTAAGTTGGTGAATGCTACCATAATCCTTGCCTTCAGTTCTGATGGTTTTTCGCTCAACTGCGCCCGACACATTAAGGGGGCTGCAGTCTGGGGAGTTAGGTGGCCAGATGTTGGGATGAGGTGGTCGCAGAAATTGTCATTTAGGAGTCTATCTATCTATCTATCTATCTATCTATCTATCTATCTATCTATCTATCTCCTTCTGTTCATATCTATATATCTATCTATTTATATATCTATCTCCTTCTGTTCATATCTATCTATCTATCTATCTATCTATCTATCTTGTTTATACACACTTTTTAGATAGCATTTCCAGATATCTGTTCGATTTTTACACGTGTATATTTTCCTGTATATTCTTACATTTGCTTACAAATATATCCGTAGGTATATATTCACATTCACCCAACTATACAAATATATTCAGCGGAATAAAAGGTTACGAAAGTACTTATTAAATTTTGAGGAAGTGTTTCTAAATCGAGACGGTCATCAGGTCCACAGCTCATTCGTAGCGGGCGTGCGTGTAAGCAATTCGCCATTACTATTTATAACGGCGCCCAACAAGAACATTAATCGCCATGATTCTGTTCCACAACTAGAAGGAAATGGTCCGTGACCGGAAGCTTCGTGTGAAATAGCCAGTGCAGGCATCTTTTTGAATGACTTATTCATTTACATGTTTGCCTTTATGATAGATAAGTTTCAAGTGTCGGCCATTGTCTTCGTGCATAGAGGAAGTAACTGCTCGACTTTCGCATGTATATACCGGTTGTCTCAAAATATAGAAAATCGATAACGGAAAGAAGAAACCTCGTTTGATTGTATTTAAACTATTACGAATGTACCTGAGATGAGAATTATACGTAGGTAGAGACACAGGCGGTCTGAAGTTCTGACACAGAATATTTTCAGGAAGGAAACATGAGAGCAAGCCGAAGATTATATTCGCCAAGATGTTATAATGGTGAAGCTGTTAATTTAATTGACTTTAAATTCTTTAATTCAGAAAAAAGAAAATCATAAAATTCATAATTTAAAATGCGATGACGCCAACGAGAGCTTTCGGTTGCTCATCTCGGAATGTCTTTCAATGCATTCTTAAAACTTCTGATGATAAAAGAAGCATGAACGTTCGGGCACATTCTAAGAGTAAATATTGGTTCATATTTACTAAATAAAATTGAAACTTTAGCAAGAATGTTGACTACGACCAATTAAGCAGAAGTCGTCGGCTATAATTATCTAAATATTTGATTTCGATTGAATCAGCAATGAAAACACGAAAGCTGGAAAATCCATGATTTATCGAATATTGTAAATATATTGATTTGATAGTGTAAGTATCATTGATTTGACATAGCAAGTATAATTATTTTGATATTGTAAGCATAATGATTTGATATTGCATATATGGATTTAATATTGAAAGTATAATTGATATGATATTGTAAGTATTATTGATTATATATTGTATTACTAAATTGACATTGAAAGTATCACTGATATGCTGTCGTATTATTGATTTGATATTACCTTATTGATTAGATATTGTAAATATTGTTTAACTTACTTGATATTGTAATTATTATTGATTTGATATTGTGTTATGAATTTGATACTGCAAGTAATATGCATTTGACATTGTATTATGGATTTGATATTGTATTGTTATGATATTGTATTACTGATTTAATACTGTATTGCTGATTTTATATTTCTTTACAGAATTGATATTGGAAGTATTATTGATATGATACTGTATTATTGATTTAATATTGCATTAAAGATATGATATTTTAATTATTATTGATTTGATATTGTATTATTAATTTGACTTTGTATTTTTGATATGAAATTTTGAGGAAGTGCTGTCTGTTTCTAAATCTTTGAGTAAACAGTTATTATTGTTTTAATATGTTATTGAATTGTTTTAAGACGTTGTAATTATTATTGATTTGATATTCTATTATTGATTTGACATTGTACGTATTATTCATTGATATTACTTCATTAAGTGTGATTTCTTTGCGTTGTTTTGATATACAACCAATTTCGACTGATTAAAAACAAAAAAATAAGGATAAGAATTTATAAGATGAAAAGAGCGACACTGAGATCCGAAGGCCGTACTGTGATAGCCAAGGAAAAAGTTAACCAGAGTGCCAAGAAAGAGTACGAAAACTGCTGTGTGATATCTGTCCTTCAGAATGGTAGTAATTGCTGGACGATGACTTAAAAAATCAAGAGGCGACTTGAAGCAACAGAAATGTGGTTCTACAGAAGAATGCTGAGGATTCCGTGGAACGAACATGTGAGTAACAACAAAGCCTTAGAGAAAATTGAAGCAAGAAGGAAACTAATACTTAATATCAGGAAGATACAATTGAGGTTTCTGTGATATAATTTGAGGAAGGAAGTGTTGAAAAATCTGATACTCACTGGGCAGATAAAGGGCAAGAGGAAGACAATGCATGACATACTTAATTAGTTTGAGTAAACGGTTGGCAAATTTCCCCAGATTCTTTTCTCTAGCAAACAATTGTATCGATACGAACAGTATGGACAGAGGAATCAGCACTCTATGGTGACTGGCAAGTTCGTACCTTAAATTATCACCAGACAATATCTTACTCCTCTTTATGTAGCTCCCTCTCAGTTCCCTCTCTCTCTCCCTCTCTCTCTCTCTCTCTCTCTCTCTCTACATATATATATATATATATATATATATATATATATATATATATATATATATATAGGTAAAGGCGTGTTTGGAAATGTAAAAAATTCCTTACATCTTTTATGAAAGAAACCCTTTATACAAATTCTTTTTTCTAAAATTCTTTTTTTTAACTTTGAGTTGCTATTATTATTATTATTATTATTATTATTATTATTATTATTAGATATTAATGTTAAAGTGTCATAATCCGATCGCAGGCATCCTTTGTTTGTGTCCCTGCATGTATGTTTTCCTTTTTCTTTTTGCCTGGACTAGTCTCTCTCTTTCTTTCTCTTTATATATATATTTCTCTTTTTCTGTCTCTTTTTTTCTTATTTCTTATTTCTGCTCTCCCCTTCCACCTTGATAATAAGGTCAGCATGTCGAACAAACCCCAGACCTCCACGTTTTTATTTAATGTCTCTTTATTTAGATGGATGTAAATACATCTATCACTTTTCTTCTTTATCTCTTTTTCCTTTCTTAATTTTTTTTGCATGTTTTTTATCTTCCACTCCCTCAATCCCCTTAAAAAAACAACAACAACCATTCATCAAGGGCTTACAATCTTATGACGTTGAAACACAAGTACAATTTCCTTTGGTTGTTCCAATTCTGCGCAAGGCTGACTTGAGCTCGACCATGAATACGATACTTGTATTTACCTAATTTCTGAACCAGAAAGAGAATAGACATACCCAAGAGACACAGAGCTCTTCGTTTCACTACAGTCACCACAAAATATAATAAACGTCTGTAGTAAAAACTCAAGGTTTTCTAGGCTTCAATCTTTGTATATTGTACACACACCTTCGCCTAAAATACACACACCACTACAATCAGTTAACATCTTTAATTCTATATTGGTTTGTGTTTGTGAACAGTTTAAGTTTTATCTAGTCCATTTTTCGAAGATATATATATTCGTTTTAATCTTATTAAAATTAAAGTGTTTTGGTGGAATTTAGGTGGAATTGCTAAGCCTATGTGTATATTTTTAGAAACCATTTTCGTTGTTTTTTTATATTGAATTGTTTTCTCTTAATTGAAAAATTCTTTTTTGTTTTTAGTAGAAGATCAAAACAGATTATCGAGTGTGCTGTTTGTTTATTTCTTTCTTGTTTCTTTAATTCTTCTGTCTTATTTTAACAAATTGTTTATATATACATAACAAACTGTATGGATATACGCAAAGCAGAATGAATGATTCGATTGAATTTCTTCAATTTCCAGTTTAACTTCGTCCGTAGGAAAAAGGCGATCAGTTCACTATAGAATTGCAGGATAGATCGAAACCATTCGAAAGCTAGGGACGGTTTGATTCCAGTTAAAAAAGTATAAAAATGATCTACCAGTTATTGTGTGATATAAATCTATAGACAAAAAGCAAATATTTTTTTGCTGTAAAATTGTGTTATGAGAAAAAAACGAAGAGCTGAGGAAAAATGAAATGAGAGAAACATTGTGTTGTGGATTCCGGGATGAAATCCGGTCTCAAATGAATGACAAACGCAGGAATGAAATATAGCAAATAAATGTATTGACGTAATAATACAATTGGTAATACGGTTAGTAGATCCAGAAATGCGGTTAGTAGCAATAATAATATATACACAGTCTGGGAAATTCAGTATCGAAGTATGACTTCCTTCTAAGTCTACGTGCTCGCAACTGTGACTCCTACAAAGCGGTTACCTCACACTCTCACTCTCTCACTGTATCAGTGTATCGATATTGAGTCAACCCCCCCCCGTCCCACGAAGGTGTCATGTGGCACAAGGCCTTTTTAACGTGGGCATTCCCGAGCCATAAGGCTCGGCCAAAAAATAGCCCATTTGAACCCGTATAAACGGGTTCAGGGCCGGTTTTACCTCCCCGAAGGAGACTCCGCCCTTCGGCGTAGCCTCCTTCGGGTAATACTACTACTCATCTATATCAGTGTATCTCTTACTCTGACTTCCGGGTAGTCACCGGCAGCAGTACAAGTACACACTGGGCGAGTCCACTTGTATCAAAAAGGGGTGGACCCCATAACACATTGTTTCATTAATTTCTGTAATTGGGAAAACCTTTAAAATATACGAAATGTTTAATGTTACCTGTACATCATTGCTTTGTTGCAACTTCGGTGAATGTGTGGGTAGTGTAGTGGATAATGGCTAGGAATGGGAAATTGGAGAATCGGTTTCAAATTCCAGTTACGTTCGTTACACGAGTTGGAATTCCACCCGAATCCATTACATTCACCTACGTACTAATAACCTTGAGAGAGGTATGAATCCTCTTCTTCTCTCCACAGATGTGGTTAAATATCAGGACAGACCGGGTACTATAGCCTTGCAACTGGTCTATCGCAGAAAGAAATGGCAACCTACTGCGGAAAATAATCTGCCTCATCAGTCATGTATCGAAATATATATGATCGCCTAAGCGTGTATCACGCATGGCACACAACTGATTAATCCAGTAGACTCTCTGGGGAGTAAGGGGTCACAGCTCTCAGCACGGTAGGTTATAGAAGTATTAGATTTTTTCGGGATAGAGTTGCTTGCCTCATGCTCA